TCAGTCCACATGTACATCATCTCAGAAATAGGCCTGTACACATACAAAAACTGCAACACCTGTTACCTGTGCAGTCTGATGTTTTTCAAGTTCTCATTTCTGTATTTATGGATGTCACTAATCATTAAAATCTTGCATGTAGCAAAATGAACTCTCCACTTGCTGTCTGTAAATAACCACTGATAGAATAACATTTCTTCATGTACTACACACTGGTTATATGGTAGGGAACACTGCGAAACCCGCTACACAAGCACTTTCATACTGTTTGATATTTCTGGCATGTTGTTAACACGATGTTCACCTGCCACCCTGGTTAGAGTATACTGTATTCCAAATGTTTGGGAGTTACAGAAAATCTTGCTCTTAAGTATTTTACTCCCTTCCAATTATCATTTACACTTATAAGTGTAAATGATAATTGGAAGGGAGTAAAATTTGGAAGGGAGTAAAATACTTAAGAGCAAGATTTTCTGTAACTCCCAAACATTTGGAATACAGTATACTCTAACCAGGGTGGCAGGTGAACATCGTGGTATACTTTGGCCAAATGTAGGTACTGGAACTAAATGCCAGTTTAGGAATGATACAAATTTATTTCCCTGTTTATCACATCTAAAAGCTACTGAGCCTTTCTCACCTTGAAAGCATACTGCTTAATGGTACTAATGACATCTTTGAAGAGCACTTTAGAGGTGAGAGTGTATCCATGATAAATCACTGGCTCTTTGTCAGGCCCATCCCAGCAATCCAGTTCCACACAGCGGCAGCTCTTCAGAAGGGCCCTATATTTTGCAAGTAGAGGAGAGCACTCATTATGTTATCCCAGACACAGTCAGCCAGTCTTCCAGGCTCAAACTAAAATGTGTACATCACAGTTAAAGCAAGTTCTTAGACCTGAAGTCCAAGCAAGTTATTCTACTAGCTGAGCCACTCAGGAGCCTCAGACCCCACTGATTGTCATCCCAGGCTTAGAAAGCTTAAGAAAATACCAACGAACACCTTAAACCTGAATACATTCTGTAATTTGAAAAACTGTCCAATATGGCTTTCAAAATTTATTTATTTTTGAATTTCTTCAACAAATGCTTAATGAGACGATAACAACAATTGATACAGTTTGATAACCGGTGATAAATATGTTGATTGCTATAAACTATTAGTGTCACTGTAAATGACAGGCCGCCCCAACAATAATAACCCCAAGTCAACTGTCCCTCGTTTTATCTCTCCTGGCTGTGATAACAGTGACCTTTCAAAGGATACCTCAAAAATATTTGAGGTGAAGTAAGATTTTGGCTGATTATAATATATAGTACAATGTTAACAGCTTTGATTGATAACAGCTTGGAAGCTGTTATGGAAACTACAGTATGTAGTTCACTGAATGATGCAATAAATTTATTTCAATTGGTTTGCAAAAGGCACTTTGTTTCTTGAACTTGGAAAGTCCTTCTAGGTGTTTTGGAATCCAAAAATAATCCAACCTTTTCAAATAAGTATATAAGCTATAAACATTATATTTCCTATATTATTATATTTTCTATTTAAGGTCTCAATTTGTTTTCTGCGTGTTAACAATATAAATTAATCTATTTTCATAGAAAATCTTTATAGGGTGCATTACAAAAATGCATATAAAGTTTCTACTTCTGTAGGTAATGTCAGAATACAGGGCTGGTCAATTTTTAACATGTATTTGCAAACATATTCCTCTATTTTTTTCTCAGTTAAAATTCTACATTTTATTGTCAGTTAAATGAAATCTATCTGGAGATTGACAGGTTATTTATAGGGAAGCTGATTTAATTAAACTGGAATATGTGTGAATTCCATTCATACTGTATACAAGAGAAGTTCATTTCTTATTCATCGAGTTGCTTATAAGCAGAGCTCTAACAGGAATTCTGAATAAAGAGATACTATGAAAACTGCAATTGCATGGAGAAGAGAAACATTGCTGTTCAGAGATTTATAATGGGTAACAGTAAATTAGTTTTCTGACATGGTAATGGGAAAATCACTTTAAAATGGTAGTTCTCTGGACCAACTACACCTACATAAGGAAAAAGACAAAAAAAGAAGGAAAGGGGAATTGTTATCCCTCTGGCATCTTTCCCATTCCTCTGGTATCTGAATTTCTTTGTAAAATGTAGTCCTCAAAAAGTGTCATGCCACTGCTCAGATTAATGGCAATTTGTATCAGATGTGGGTTGGCAGTCTGTTGCATTGGTACGGTATAACTGGAGAAGGCTTCTGTCCTGTCACCACAGGCAACTAATTCATACTATGTATGTTGTTTGAGCATTGGCTATTATAACAAGGGCCTTGTGTGAGTGAAAAAACACTGCTCTATGGATCTCTCACCACGGAAACGATTTATTTACCTGATGTAGGCCTCAGGGCTGCTCGGTCCCTTGAGCTGGTCCTCCATCAGATAGGTGTTATGTGAAGATGAGATGAAGTAATGGTTCAAGGGCTGCGTCATGTCCTGATATACTACACTGTGTGCAGGGTTGAAGATCATCCCAAGTGGGCTTTGCAGGTATATCAGGAAGCCATCTCTGGTCATTTGTCTCTTTTGTTTTGCTAAAAAAATTTCAAAATGTATGATGAGCATGATTCTGTGATGGACATAATTAAAAGCCACTTCAATAATGTGTAATATTTCCAGCACCAAATGCTTCACCACATCACAGTGATAAATCACATGTTGAGTGTTTACACCTCAACAGTACTGACGTACTTCATGTAGCAAGTGCCAAACATATTGTTTAGAAGCTTAGGGTTTCTGTGAAGGACACTGACCTGTTGATAAATGAACTTTCTTCTTATGTCTGTTTAAAATCAGCTTTGGGCCAGAACCTCTAGATATTGATTTCTCAATTTGAAGTGCAGTTACTTAACTCAATATTTTATTTTTTTATATTTCTGTATCTATTTCTCTGCTCTGATTGTCCAGAGTATAAAATGCACACTGCCATAAGGCACACAGATCGCAGATGTCGGTACATTTCTCTATGTATTACATTTCTATTTGTACACTCTTTAGAAATCTTTAGGACTGACCACCCTTGGCATAGCTGACTGACAAAAAATACAGAACTCTGCAACTGGTTGTGGGCATGTCAAAGGGCAAAAGTGGTTCAAATACACCACTGAGTTCATTTTGGTTTCTGTTTCTGTTAATACTGTGCAAAAAACTAAGGATTCGATTAAAATATTGAGAAAAAAGCAGAATTTGAAAAAAACAGAACAGCATGAAGTCCAGGATAATGATTCCATGATTCCACTATGTGTATTAGATGCTGAAAGAGTAGGGTTTGTAAATGACAACTGAATGCACAAACACTTTTAAGCAAAGGAAAGTCTGGACAATTTGTGATGACAGTCATAAGTTTCATGAGAGGCATAAATGTATTTCTTCATAATTATTGAGGCTTCTGGACATCCTGTTTACCTTATGTGCCGGAAAGTCACCAGTTCATTAAAAAGCATCAAATTATACTGAGATTGTTCATTAAAACATACTGTAAGTACTAAAAACTATTTTCCTAGCAGGTCTTTTGGAAAAGTAAAATCATCCAGTTCCCAGCTCATTTATACAACAACAAAGTATTATATTTATTTTACTAATTAGGAAATACCAAGTTTGGTAATATGTGATATTATATATGCTAATTATGTATTCAGTATTAACTACATAATTATATCTGTTATATATGTATAGCATATTGTGTTATAATTACTAAATATGTATTTTAGTAAAATTTTATATGGGATAAAAAAACATCATCTTTGAAAATAAAATGGTACCAAAAGAAATACTTTGGCAATGAGGATTAAAGAGAACAGAATATTTATCCTTGAGCATTTGAAAATCAAAAACAGCACAATTCCACAAAAGGATAAAGCTGTACTTGCCTTCTTCGTCAACCTCATATTTTTCAATGAGTGAGCACGCATCGCTCGCTGTGACAGCCTCAAGCTGTTCATGTTGTAGGAACTGTGCCAAGTCCTGTGGGCTCATCTTGCCTTCAGTCTGTGCATATTTGGTGTAGATGACATCAATCTCCTGTCTATAGGTCAGGATTTTGTAGAACTCCTCGATTTCAGAACCCTCCAATGTGCCTGATCTTGATTTGTCACATTTCTAAAAGGAAATACAGTATATATTTAAAGTGTTTGCTGTACCATGAAGATTTTTTTCAATACTTCATTGTTTATATATTGCAGAATATGAAACAAAAACAACAAGATAATCTATGCTATTTATGCTATCTTCAATATTTACTTGCTGTAACCTTTGCTTTTCTGGTTCATTCTGAGGTATGGCTGCACATTTATTATTTCTCATGTCCAGTGCACATGACCTGAGTTTTTATTATGAAAAATTGCATGTATGCATGTCACAAATAACTCAGTCTCTAACTCCTTACCACAAAGATAAGATCTGCGTAGGATTCATTCACTTCAAAGTTGATGTGTTTTAGAAATGACTTCATCTCTTTTAATGTCATCTTATTGTCGTGATTCTTGTCAGCCTTCCGCATGCAGCTGTATATCCAGCTAAGTCACTGATGTAAGGACAAACACATGGATTTCTGAAATAGCATAAAAGAAGTTACACTGCTCAAACTGTACGTTATGCAGCTACTGTATATGGATTCAAACTTGTGCCTATGAGGTGCTGTTTAGACTATTCAAAATTTACCTCTCATACAAATTGCTCTCACATACACACAAAATGCTCTCACACTCTCCATTTTACCTCGCACAAACACATAAAACACTCCTTCACGATGTGAACGTGAGACAAAACTAATGAATGTGAGTGCATTTTATGTGTATGTGAGATGTAAAATTAATTAATGTGAGAGTGTTTTGTGTGTGTATGCGAGAGGAAAAATGGAGAGTGTGAGAGCACTTAATGTGTATCTGAGAGATGAATTATGGCCCAATGTAGGCTGTCCTTGTAAATGGCACAATGTGATTGGTTGAGAAAATTTATCAACAAGCTATCTCTTGCTCGCTCCAAGATGGAAGAAAGAAATCAACCACAACAAGCACTAAGCCAAACCATGGCTTAAATTAATAACATCTGAGTAACTTCATTGTCATCGGCTACAATGCCTGCGATAAGTGTTCTTCCATTTTCATGAGTGCTTTATGTATATGTGCAAGGTAAAACTAGTGAATGTGAGAGCTTTTTGTGTGTATGTGAGAGCAATTTGTGTGTGTATGAGAGGTCAAGTTTGAATAATGGCCTAAACGGCACCTTATATGTACCCATACATTTACATTCACAATTGTCAAAACTCAGTGGTATATTAAGACGTGATAAATAAGAGTGTTATGAAATTGAGAGGCTTCTCTCACATTACATAAAATTTTTTTTTCTACAGTATGTAGGATCATAGTGTCCAGAAGTGGTTAGGATTATGATAATAAAGCTCTTTATTAACTATAGCACTTTCATCTCCAAGCACTGTCCATTAAATCAATCACACAAATAAGGCAAATATAGACAAAGTAAAACAGTAAATTAAACAGAATAATTCCACAGCCAGAGGACAGTAAAGGCAGGGAGTACTGCTGCTTACACAGGTCTTTTTACACTGTACATCTCCCAGTCTTAGGGTGGGAAGCTTGGGGGGAACAAAAGATGTATTTTAGATAAACAATAAAAATGTAAAAACATTTTTATTATCAGATTTTCTTTTACTGTCCTTTATACCTTAATCTGCTTTGTAAATTTAAAAAATGACAAAACCTTTTTGTATATAATGAATGCAAACTCTACTCTAAAGGCTGCGTATGTTCTTTTGAATTTTCCTTTTCCACGCTGTTAAGGAGACCACACAGCCTGTAGCAGCAAAAAAACTGTACTACAACAGACTGAAAAGGATACTGCTCTCTGTTCTGTTGCTGATTCATGCTCTTTGTGTGCTCAATGATCTTCTTCAGGCTAGTAACCCATTGCTTGGCTTCCTCTGGACTGTCGGCAATGAGGTCCAGGTTTTTCCTGCGACCTTTAAAGATGATAGAGAAGCAAAAGTCCTCCAGGCCGCCCTCTGTGTATTTCTTCATGCCCTCTGACTGCCGCCCAAACCGCACATCCTCAATGTCATCGATAGAGACTGGAAAACAAGCAAAGGAGCCAACTAAACAATTGTCCTCCTTCACTCACTATCACGGGCCTGCTAACTGGATTAGATAACAAGCACTGGTCATCTCTACAGCTGCTAAAAAAATGAGTTTTCAAATGCAGAAAGCAACACGAGCAACTAGGCACCATAACACTTCATTTATCAACAGGACGTCTGCTCTGTCACCCTAACAACCTTGAAAAAAAAATCATTACTTTCCCACCAAACGAAACAATGGGCATGATGTACTGTATAAAGTGCATATGTACAATCTGCCAAGAGAATAGATGTAGCGTTTTCCTTCCAATGCTAGTTTTTCCTTAATATGAGGCTGTAGGAAAATAATCTTTTAATTCATACTTTATTTATTAATATTAACCTTTTGGTGACAAACAACAATAACAGGTTTTGCCAGGTCCACTTATTTGCTACTGTATGTACTTACAATAACACCACCATTCGGATAACACTGCTCAAACTTGCGATTTATTATGTTGAAGTTTGAACGTTAGATGCCTCTATCTGAAATGTTTGCTGTAAGGAATACCATAAAATATTTACAAGATTTATTGCTTGTTGCATAACAGGTTTACTGACATAGTGAAACTGCAGGCATTGATAATAGCTGTCATATGCAGTTATTGAATTTCTCACAACCAAGAGTTTCACAACAGCAGTTGAGTTTTACATTATTTCTATAAAAGGGTAATTAAACCCTGGCAACACGATACATTCTATAGTGATTTCTTTATATTTCTGTCTTATTACCACATCAATCGACAAGAACTATTTAACAAACACAGATGACAATTAACTGTAATAAGCAAAGGAAAAACAATTATTTTGTACAAAGATATAGGTTACAGATCTAAAAGAAAAACAAGGGCTTGGCTCTTTAGGCAAGGTACTGTATATCTTTCAGGTGACTAAGAGACAAAACAGGTGGAGTAGCTGCTTTTTAAAATCATTTGTAAAACACAACATTAAAGCTGTAGACTTTTGTCTTTGGCAAAGCCAGTGCAATTGATAAGAAAAGCATAACATTCTGTTTAATCTCTGGAGTGGCTGTTCAAAGTATGTTTCAAACAGTCAAAAGGTTTAAATATAGTTTATTAGCAGTTCATAAAGGTAGAAAATTAATCTAACCTTTCTGAAGTCCTACAATGTCTGCTGGTACGATCACAACAGTGTTCAAAGTCAAGTTACTATCATTCCTTTTTTTAAAAAAAAAAAGTACATTTGAGCATGGTTTTATTTCCTTCAAGTCTCAATAATAAATGCAGTCACAGATACTGCAATATTCTTGTCTTGGTGAGAAATGTCTTGTATGTCATTGCTTAACCAATATCTTTAGATAATAATTCCTTGCATTTATACAGAATTATTTATCCTTAATGATCTCAGTCTTTATCTTAGCCTGTCTTTATAGACATTATATCCTTGGTCCATGTGTCTTACAATTAGAGTATCCTTTTTTTATTCAATATCCTTTCATGACTGTATATGCAAACATTCCTGCTCTTATGGCACAAGAACAAGGGTGCAGGCCATCAGTCTTAATCACAAGGGTGAGCTAATGCTTGCTAAAATGAAAAGAATAAAAGCGGGTAAAATAAAATGTGAAAAGTGAATTTGCCTGAGACATGAAAGACAGTAACTTTTTAAAGAAAAATATGGTTAGGGTTTACAAATGCCCTGATCACGAACCTTAGAGACAGGTCTCTCTGGCAGGTAACTACGCATTTCAGAGAATAGCTTCACAAAGAAACAAGAGCAGGTTCATAGAAATTTTATCTTGCACACTGAAAGCGGGCATTAGCACTAGGAACTGTATTGTTTCAGAGCAAGATTTGTAGCTCACTGGCAGGAAGGCTGCCTGGGAATACGCAGAGATGTCTGAATTCATATTTAAAGGCACCAGTACCCTTTATTTGATCTTTCAGTAAGAAACCACAATTTAAATTTAAAACCTAAAGTTCCATTACATTGGAACCCCCTATTAACACATCAGCTGGTTTCCAGATGCACGGACTGCTGATCCTTTAGGACAAGATGTGTTTCCTTAGGCATTCATTATCGACAGAGATTCAGGAAAGGGACCAACTTTGACTACAAAGCCAGCACTTTCAGTTTTGGCTTCTATCATTTTTTTCTGTCCGTCTATCTGTCTGAAGAGTTTATTTTTAAATTTAAAGTACAGTTAAAGCAATGGTAGTCATTAGCATTAGGAAAGAGAGGCACATGAGAGCTTTTTACAGGACTGCACATAGCAGTACCTCAAGCTATCAAGTCGTCTTATTATATTTATCTCAGACATATTTCAGTAGTAGATTTCATTAGCAAAGCTAAACCTGAGCTAAACACGGTTTCCATTCTAATGATATTCATATTAATACATATTATAATAATAATAGGCCTGAGCAGGACTGGTTGTATGTCTAGATAGGAAGACTTGAAGCAAAAGGAAACACATGGGGGAAATTAATCTTAAAACTCAAAAGAAATAATAGTCCCTGTTAAAAATCCTAATTTGTCTCCTGTTAAGCTTTTTTTATTTAAACTGCATAGAAAAAAAGAGAATGACGCACCACATTAAGGATATTTTGAAAAGTGTCTCAGTGTTAATACACTCCCCTGTGCATATATGATTACACATTCAGCAAGACAAGAGAGAAAAATAATCCCCATTGAACAAACACCAAAAGACTGAGAGCGAAAATCACACTGGGCTCCTAGAACAATCAACTGAAATAGTTGGTTAAGAAATACCATGGCACCAGCCTTGTTTATCTGCCTTGCAGTGCTACACTCCTATTTTCAGTGACCCTAGACAGAGAGACTAATAGCAAGATTTAGTTATACGTGAGAAAGGGCAGCTGGCACACGTGCAGTCTCACCACAGACTCTCAGCTCTATGAGTGTACATTTCAGCAAGAAAAATGAAAATAAGCTATTTAGATGTTGCACAAGGATAATGGTGATTTGTTCTATACTCAAAGTATCTGTTGTGTGCTCAGTATTCTTCAGTTCCGAATGTTCCAGTAACACACTGAAAGTTTGTCTTTTTCTTCAAAAGGCAATTCATTATGCTAAAGAAGTGATATAAAAAGTAGAAAAAATACAATTAGAAAAACACAGAGCCTGCAGAAATCTACAGCTTTTTTTATCACAGTTGAAATACAAATTAAAAACTAAATTTCTTTTTAAAAAAACAACAACCACAAGTTGAACCTGTAATGGCAGTGATGCTAGGGTTTTTTTATACTGTATATTTAAAATTGTTACCCCTTTTGATGTGATTTAGCTTCCCACACCACTTTTCACGTTTGGGCAAAATGTTTGACTTTCTCTCCCTGGCAGGATAGGAAAAATTTTGGAACGTCTTAATGGATACTACAGACAAAACTGGGATATCTTACAGATTTGTTTATAGCTGTCAATAGAGTTGTTGAGGTTGATAACCTGTTACCTTTGATCTCTGTACAATATCTGACTTTCTCCCTTACAAAACAGTACATGGTGTTCTGTTTCAGTGTTCAGCCTTTTTAATACAGAGTGGCAATCACCATGACTTCTGGAAGCTTCTATATACTTTCAGAGGCTTGGTGAAAATTTTCTAGCTAGTTAAATTACAGGATATGAGTACATTTGAACATTGTGAAATATGTAACTATTTTTATGTGTATGCCTTTGATATAAAGTATATTAGTCAATCCGTGTTTTATATTTCAACTACATTTTAATTCAGAAATGTTAACAAGTACTGTATATCCCAACAGCCCTTATATGATCCGGTTCCTTATATGCAAACATGGTTGCCTGTTAAATGACAAACAGAAAAAGAATAAATAAAAGACTGAGGATGAATCATTGGTCATCAGATGCTGGTGTCAGTTAGACTTTGCAATTTTGCAACATTGCCAAGGCTAAATATTCCATTTCATGTGATCACTACTATGGCAACATCTGGTTGTAATAAAAGGCAAATGAACGCCTATCTGCGGTCCATGTGGGTCCTAATGCCCCAGTATAGTGACGGGGACACTATACTGTAAACAGGCGCCATCCTTCGGATGAGACGTAAAACCGAGGTCCTGACTCTCTGTGGTCATTAAAAATCCCAGGGTGTTTCTCGGAAAGAGTAGGGGTACAACCCTGGTGTCCTGGCCAAATTTCCCCATTGGCCCTTACCAATCATGGCCTCCTAATAATCCCCCTCTTTGAATTGGCTACATTACTCTGCTCTCCTCCCCACTGATAGCTGATGTGTGGTGAGCGTTCTGGCGCACTATGGCTGCCGTCGCATCATCCAGGTGGATGCTGCACATTGGTGGTGGTGGAGGGGAGTCCCCATTACCTGTAAAGCGCTTTGAGTGGAGTGTCCAGAAAAGCGTTACATAAGTGCAAGTAATTATTATTATTATTATTATTATTATTATCTAACAAATTCTGCAAGGTTTTCTGACTCATAAGGTATAACTGGGTAAAAAAGACTGCCACAGCATTAAAGAGAACAAGGACATGCAAAAAGAGGAATTGAAGATATGATTATTAGTCACTTCTGTACAACTATACAATGCAGACTTTTGTTTTATCACGTTATATGAACAGATTTCAAAAGGTCCAATTAATGTATACAAAGCTACAACTGTAAGGCATTTCTTGGTACTTTGGGAAAAAGACAAATGTTATTAAATTTCTGGCCATACACAATATTCTGTTAAAAATGCAGACAGTACTATTAAAACTGACCCAAGTGTAAGGTTACAATTTGTTCAAACTCTGTAAGAACTAAGTATAAAGTCAGGATGCACTATGCATGCAGGTCTACAGTGTATACTATGAAGTAAACACAAAAAATAAAAATGATCTTTTAATTCAATTCTACATTGTCCACATTTTTACGGTTCTGTCATTGTGGCAGTTGCTTACATTTATAATTACAATGAACTGAGCCTTTTTGGTCATGAACAAAGAAGATAATGAGGGGTTGACTTCTGATTCTTGATTTCACCTCAAAAAAAGCAAATTACCCTCACTGACTCTCTAGACTGAACTCTAAATCCTCAGTGTAAGCAGAACCCAACGAAGTTTTTAAATAACATTGTGTTCCGAGGCTGCTCAGTATGAAAAGCTTTAAAAACAAGTAATCAAGACTGAAAAGTAACAAACTCTTTCATTTTCTATGTAATGTTTAATATGTAATAGCAGGATACCATATAACACTAGGCTCCTGAAATAACAGAGGCCTAATCTGCAATATACAGAATTTTATATATACTATATAAAGAAAGGAGAGGTCAAAATTCAGTTTCAAATTGTGATTTGCTCTTTGCTATACTCTTGGCAGGAAAAAAATACTTCATAAAATAAAACATTAACCAAGTCAAGAATTCCATCATTTAAGTTCCCTATTACTGAATGAAGATACTCTGCTTAGGGCCAACAGTGACTTGTGTTATCATGAGATAACACTGACTTTCTGCATGAGAAGCAGTTTATCTGCTTTGCCCTTCAATTCGTTTCCATAGACACAGCAGATTAGAGTGGGAGTTTAATGCCAGATGCAGTCCAGTTTACTGTATAATCTAATAAAGACGTCTGTTTCTTATGGCTTTAATTCTCTGGCTGCAACAAAGGAAAACTGCAGAGGAAATGTTTGCTGGGTGGAGTTTCAGTTTGGGATAGGGCAGCTGCATTTTTAAGATGTTTTTGTTTTCACAGAGGAAAACACAAAGGACCATTTTAACAACCCCCCTCAAAAAAAATATTATCTATTATTTTCCAAGGAACATCCAGCTGGTACTTCAGTTCACGAAGCAAGCCAAGAGATAATTATGAGACGTCATTTAGTGTTTCCAAGTTAAAAAGATCCTGCTGATGACTGATACAGATTAATCAGTGCTCTGTGTGAATATTAATAGTTATAGAAATGGACAGTCACTGTCTGACAGTCGGCAGACAGAGCCTTATACATTTGAAATGGTTTTAATTAACATCAAATACTCTTTTCCTGAGTCTGTTATTTTCAATCGCTTTTGATCTTCTGAATGGTGTGTTGTGTTTCCGCTAACCTGTATGATTACCAAACTCAGTTTTTCCCTTATAAAGGTTGGGCTGCACAAACTCAGTCTAGTTTACTTCCTACCAATTACTTAACCACCTAATTCTAAACACTCCCTTAACTGCTCTAAGTAAACAAATAAGGTTAAGTTCTTATTCCACATACGCCGATTCGAAAGTATTAATTTTCCTTACACACTTGTGTCTATTACCCAGTTCACATTTCCCAGAATTATATTGGTGCTTCACAAACATTCTTCTCTGCTACATATAGGCACTACATATTGTGCTTATATGCAAATCATGATTTCTCAGTGTAAACCACAAGATACAAGATACTGTGGTATTTTGCAGATGGAACAGATTTCTGAGAGAAACACCATGTTTACATACATAAACCCAGCACCTATCATGTCTCATGTAGTTGTCTTTAATGTTGATGTATGTTTTAAGCTTATTTGCATAATATTTAGACTTAAAAACAATGTGTCTGAGTTGTTTTGAAATGTTTTGAGTTCCATCTCTTATTTAGTTCACACATTAAAACAGGATAATTTAGTTCAAGTTTTCATTTCAAGAACGCAAACTTACACGTCTGGGATCCACGTGACTTCACAGGTTTTTGAGAATTGTACCATATCGTTTTGCAGTCCTCCTGCAGCTTGTAGAAACGCATCTTCCTCCATGAGCTAGACTTCACTTTCTTGAGATTACCGCCTGTGAGGAGGAACTTCAGATCCTCATCCCCTTCTAAGCCTGGGAAGAAAGAGAAGACATCGATGATATGAAAACTGTGCTAACCTGGACCCCAGCCTGTTCACAGACTCCTGACAGAGTAATTGGTAGAAAATACTTTACAGTGGACAACAATGCACAACTGTTCAAGAAATCTCAATGACACAATTTATTGAAACACACTATTCAAGGCTGTATCATTATCTTTATTAAACCACAGTTCAGTTAATATTCTTAACTTGAGGGAGGAAACTGGAGCTACTGGAAACCCATACAAATACAGGGACAACATACAAACTCCACACAGATAGCACTCAGGAATTGAGCCTAAGGCCCCATGCACTATGAGGCAGCAATGCTAACCACTGTGCCACCATGTCGCTCCAGGACAGTACCTATTTGCATCAAGCTTCTTTTGCTCTTAACTATTTCCTTTATACAGCACCACAGATGCACAACCAGGCTTTTTTTTATAACTGGCCAACTTAACTTATAACAACTTAGTGTCAGTGTGGAATATATCATAAGCTGTATTTCCTAGACACACCACTCTTTTAAAAATAATTTTACAGCAATATTATAGAAATCAAGGGATAGAGGTGTTTTCAGTTACACAATAGCAACCCAACAGTAAAAGATGAAGTAAAATGTCTCAAAGATAAAGAAGGATTACTATGCTATACTGTCAAGTGTAGTAGCACTTTGAGTTTGTACTGTACCACATGACCTGTTAGAAAAGTGTGGGAAACTCTGAACTGGAGGCATTAAGAAACGCCTTTCAAAGCACACAATAAAAAGTACATCAACAATAACCTGGTTGTGTTTCCTAAACCTATATCACGGACAGATGATACAACACTTACCAAGGAAGGAACATGCCTCAGGCTGAGGAAGGACAAGGTTCCATATTAAATATTAACATAGAATAGACAGAAGTGTTCCAAGTACTAGAAACACTTGAATTAAACAACTCTACATGCCTTAATGGTATTCTAATGATAGTAATTGAGGAAATTATTTGTCAGTAACAGTCATTAATGAAACTCTTCCAGGAGTCTCCTGAGATCTGTAACTCCTGAGACCCACTGAAGAGAAAATTGCTAAGGTTTTGCCCATTCATACAAATGGTGTAATTACAAACAAAGTAATTACAGACAAATAAGCCTTGCTTTTATTACATATATGGTTTTGATGTTTGGTTATGGAAGCAACAATTATAACTAATCTAGGATAACCTGTATCAGAATAGAATTCTTAGAGATAGGCCATAGGGATTTAGTTAAGTTAAAGTTACAGGTAGATGCTGCTTAACTAAACTGCTACAGTTCTTTGAACACATAACTAAATAAATGGAGTTCTATAAGGAAGTGATGGATACCAGCAGAGCATATGACATGATATATTCATATTTAAAGAAGGCTTTTGCTCTTTATAAAAGGTTAATTGTCACACAATTGTAAAATCTGAAAAAATACATTTTAAAACTGAACAATTATGCAAGGATTTCCAAGCCATGTTGTTGAAGCTAACACTCTGGGTTCTTTAAAAAATCAGACCGAAATCCTTGTGTCAATTAGCAAATAGCAAACAAGCTGAGTTGGGCCTCATTTGTAACTGTTGTAATGTTTTAATGTCCTAATACATGGTACAATATATTGAAAATACAGCAGATAAATTATTAAGTTGTTTTATACTGCATTTTTAAACTATTGCTTACTTAAAATGTCTCAAAGCAAATCAAAGACATCCAGTAATATGCATTTTCTCCTGTATTGACATTGTGGCTCAACTTGCATTAACAAGGTTCATGGAAGTAACATGTGATGATTAATTCACAGCTGTAAATACCTGTATGTTTGGGTAGAATTACTAAACCTTTCCAGCATCAAAAAGAATATTGAGAATTGAGAATTTGTATAAGAAAGTCTAACATTATCAAGCATTTTCTACCTGGATATGAGCTTAGCTATTAACAATTAAATAGGAAAATATTTCATTGTTTGAAATGAAAGAGAAACTAATCGCTTTATCTTAAAATGTTCAAAAGGGCATCCCCTGTTATTTCTTGGAGAATGATTTTAGAAACTGACTGCTGGCTGTTGTCACTTCCATTGCTGTTACAGTAGTCATTCACATACAGCATTAGAATGGACACAAAATGTAATTTACACAAAGTCTAAGCATGTGGGCAGAATGTCAGTATGACTATTTCACATGATGTTTCCACAGACATCTCCTTGTGACATTTTCAGTTTCAGGAAGTACTATTCTTTGAAGAAGAAATGTTTTTGTATTTTCCAGAAATGTTTCATGAATTGGGGGCCGCATGGTGGAGCAGAGGTTAGAAATGCTGTCTTGTAGCACTGGGTCCCTGGGTTCAATTATCTATTTGGAGTTTGTAGGTTCTCTCTGTGTCCCCTTGTTTGTGTGGATTTCCTTCCACATTCCAAAGACATACTGGCAAGGTAATTAGCTCCTGTAAAATAGTCCCTGGTGCAAGTGTATGTGTGATTTGTCTGTTTGTGCCCTGAAATTGACTAGTGTCCTGTCCAGGGTATATCCTGCCCTGTGTCCACTGTTTGCCTGTTAGACGCTCGCTCCCTCTTTGACTCTGTACTGGATAAGCAGATCAGCAAATTGATGGATTGGTTTTAGGAACTGAGTGGTTCTTTAATAACCACATTACTTGTGAAGATGCACTAATAAGCCACAGAGTTCAATTCAGCCAGCAAAAAATTATTAAAATCAATACACTTCTGATGAAGTCTGATATTATAATTAAACAGTTTTAAAATTCTGACTACTACAGTATATAGGCTTTAGTTAACAAAATATGTATCTTGCATGAAAATGAACCTATCTGTGTGAGCACTGAGATGCTTCACAATTGTTTTGAGTGAGCTGTTTATCAAAGGCAAATAACAATTATTTGTTATGTGTTGTTTTCAGATTAGAAGCCTAATGCAACAGAGCTGGTCTATTTTGATACACAAACTGATCAAAAAGGTAACAGTTGCAGCTGAAACTGTAAACCGATAGGAGCAGCTTTTGTAATAAATGTATTCTAAAGCCAATGAATTGGCTTCATTACTCTGCTCTCCTCCCCACTGATAGCTGATGTGTGGTGAGCGTTCTGGCGCACTATGGCTGCCGTCGCATCATCCAG